CATTGAAGATAGTTATAAAAGAAAAAATATAAAAGAAAATAAAATTACCCAAAGTCTCATGATTCAGAGCAAATCAAATCTACATCAACCTTATTGCACATATAGAATTATATCAGACTATTAAACCTCTGGTCCAAAAATTCCTCATGTGTTAGAGATCCTGCTGAGTCTAGCATGGCTCCACCTGTGTCTAATGAAGTAGTGAGGCTGCACACCCCAGTTGTCTGTTTTACAGCATTTCTTTAATGTACCAGTGATCAAGCTTCAATAAAAATGATTTACACTTAGAGCAATGAGGCACAGGGAAAAAGGTATGGACAGTTCACCGTTCTGGAAAAATGGTTCGCAGCTGAGACCCAGCAAGTGAGAGTTGCAAGTAGAAGATGAAAGAACACTGGTCATTAAGAAATTGTTAATGGAGCGAAGGTAAGGGACAAGACTCTTTGTTTTCAAATTCTATTTGGAACACAGATAGACATCACCAATATTTCAAGCATAGGACAAAGTTTGTAACTTAGGAATTTTGCAGATTTGGGTGTAACAATGTGCCAAAACAGCTATCTGGAGAAGGACATGGCTTTTTTTTTTTTTTTAAATTGATATCTGAGAGGAAGGGAGAGGGAGAGATAGAAACATCAATGATGAGAGAGAATAATTGCTTGGCTTCCTCCTGCATGTCCCACACCAGGAATCAAGCCTGCAACCGGGGCACATGCTCTGACCAGGAATCGAACCGTGACCTCCTGGTTCATAGGTTGACACTCAACCACTGAGCAACTCAAGTTGGGCAGACATGGTTTCTTCCTCCCAAGAAACTGTCATGCTCTGTATCAGAGGTTGGCATTGCTCCCCTGTTCTCCCCTCCATACTCCTTCCCTCCCCTACTCTCTTCTCTTTTCCTCTTCTCCTCTGTTCTCTTCTTCTCTTCTCTCTGGCCAGGGTGTGGTTGGGAGAATGGAAGTGCTAAATTGACTATTGATACACTCTTATCACACCTCCCTAGGGAGTCTTTGAAATAATTGGGAGAATAGCAAGAAATGGTTTATAAGTAAAGGTTATGGAATAAAAAATATTCATGTTAATGTTACCACATTTATAAACATGTGTCTGGAGACTTGGGAAAATTGATTCTATATTCAAACCTGATTTTTTTCTATCTTTGAATAAGAAGTACAAATTGTAGAAAGCACCAGTGATTCATAAATTTCCTAAAAGTAACCTTTCCTAAAACATAGGAAAAATTGACCGAAGTTTTTATATCCATAATATGTATAGCATTGTAACATTTACCACAATACATTGAACTAATTTCATTCATTTATAACATCTACTTTGTTGTATAAATTGTTATGTCATATAATCCAGAAGAAAACCAATTAGATAAGAGAATAAATTGGAGCTCTCTATTCAAAACTGAAAAACAAACCCATGAAAGTGTAAGAGATTACTTCGAGTGAGATTCAGGCTTCATGATTTTTTTTAACTGTATTTTTTTAATTTCCCATAATAAATTTCAAAAAAAATGGAGGTTCTATGAATATGTTGCATAAGTTAGCTTTATGAAAAATAATATTCCTAAAGAAATTAAGAAAACAAAGAGTAGTATATAACATAGATTTTTATCTATTTGGCTAAAAGTATAACTTAGGCCTAGCTGGTTTGGCTCAGTGGCCAGAGCATCAGCCTGCAGACTAAAGGGTACCAGGTTTGATTCCGGTCAAGGCACATGCCTGGGTTTTGGGCTTGATCCCCAGTAGGGGATGTGCAGGAGGCAGCCGAACAATGTTTCACTCTCATCATTGATGATTCAGTCTCTCTCTCCCTCTCTCTTCCTCTCTGAACTCAATAAAAATATATTTAAAAATAAATAAATAAATAAAATATAACTTAGTTCAGTTAGATTAAATATTTTTAATAATTATTCATGTCAGGTATGTTCCTATGTTTAAATAATGTAAATTATTTTTGCTATCTTTGTTAATGTTTTTGAAATATAAAATAAAATGTATTACATTACTTAAGGTTTTCAGGTAAGAAATAGTGAATGTCATCTTCAAAATTCTGTAATTGAATATTCCAATCAATACTGGACCATGTGCCCAGAAATTATCCTTTACTCTATGTTTAGTTCGTTTCTAACTTAAACTAAAAATGTACTTAGAAAATATAAGAAAATATTTCCTATTTTCTAATATCTCCATATATTGAATGGCACATTCACACACACACACACACACACACACACACACACACACACAGGGGAATTACAATGAAGAATCACTTTTCCCACCACCGTCCCTAAATTTGCCATTTTGAAATGTAACAATTAAATATAACATCTAAAAGATGCTAAGCTTTCCCAGGATCATGCAGTAGAGCCAACATCCAAATCACTGCAGGCAGTCTACTCCCAGCCAATGCTCTCCTATGCTTCTACACTATCATGGCTCCTAAGAAGTCGTGATGACTGCCGGGTTTAATTAGACAAAGTTCTTCCTTCAATTAAATTAGAATTTAGGATTTGTTTATGCTATATACCTTACATGTATGTATAACACATCTTTCATATATATAACGTATATCTTAATTGAGAATGTAGATGTTAAAGAAGTATTAATAGAACAGATAATATAATAAAAATATTGTCATTTTTATTTACTTATGACATGTGCCATTCAATACCAATTTCACACACACTAAATTTTCATCAATTTCATGATGCACTATTAAAATTTCAAGAATATAGTGAGAAACAAAAATAGGGCCAGAGTTATAGAAGCATCAAACTGACAGTCCAACCTATGAGGGAAGGCGGGGGTGGGGGGAGGTAGAGTGGGGAATGAGGTGGTAAGAGATCAATCAAAGGACTTGTATGCATGCATATGAGCATAACCAATGAACACAGACAGTAGGAGGGTGAGGGCCTGTGCTGGGAGGTGGGGGCGGCTGAGGAGAGGTCAATGGGGGGAAAAGGATACTCATGTAATACTTTAAACAATAAAGAATTTTTTAAAAATAAAATACATTGATTTACAAATAATAAAAAGAATATAGTGAGAATTTCTTAATATGATATGCTAATGCCTCTTCTCCTGATCACATTAAAAATTACGTGCTTGCAGGAAATATAAAAGACAAAAAAAAGAGAAGAAACAAAGACAAAATAAAAAAGAAAGGTGCTCAAACCAAAGCAACATTCATTTCTATCTTGAAGCAATTTTGCCCGTTCCCCAATTTGGGACTGATATTGCTGCTTCTTTTTATTTCTGTCCCTCCTGAAATGAAGGGTTGAGACACATGTAGAAAATCAGAGATAAAGAGGAAAGGAATGATTGACAGTTTCAGAGATAGTAAAAAAAAAAAGTTATTTTTGTGCTTATTTCTCCTATTTAGTGGCAAGTAACCACTATTCCTTCCGTTTAACTCTCTGGGTCTATTTGAAACTCTCCAAAGATGCTATCAACACCTTTGTGCTCACTATTTCCATATAGTAAACACAAAGGATACACTTATGGAAAGAACTTGGGTTAAGCTGGTGGCTTAATGCAGTAAGAATTAATATTACAGCCTCATTTTATTTTGAAACAGTCTTGTTAATGTCAAAAAATGCTCCTTTCCAGCGGTGAGAATATTGAGATTTGCAGTTAAAGTGAAATCATCCCTGTATATTCCATGCACCTGTCAATCACAAAACTGAGACTGAAATCAACTGGCCTGGTTCATTTTTTAGCATAATGTTGAATTAAAGTGTAACCAGCTTCAATAACAGGTGGGAATTTACCATTGTTCTAACACAGGCATGCATATTTCATGATGTCCAATATAAGAAAGCAAATGCACACAGAAACATTTAAAACTTAAACATGAGAACAAGTGTTGGAGGCCCATCCAGCTTTTTAAGTTTGTTTGAGCATCTCAGAATCTCCTCTGTAGATGAGGGAAAACCTAAAAGTTACCTTAAACAGCTATAAGTTAGTATGTCTCATTTCTTTTTAAAAAATTTTTATTGAATTTATTGGGGTGACATTGTTTAATAAAATTATATAAGTTTCAGGTGACAGTTCTACAATACATCATCTGTATATTGTATTGTGTTCACCACCTCAAGTCAAGTCTCCTTCCATCACCATTTCTACCCCCTTCACCCTCTTCTGTCTCCCTTAACCCCTCTTAGTCAGCATTCGGCCGTCTGTGTCTATGAGTTTTGCTTTGTTTTTCCTTTGCTGAATCCCTTCACCTTTTTTACCCAACCCAACTCCCCTTCCCTCTGACAGCTGTCAGTCTGTTCTCTAACCATTTATTCCTTCAACTTTTTGCTACTCATTATCTGAAAGATTTGGATGTAATGTTTGAGGCACAGGGTTCACCCAGCTCACAGTCTCCGCAGACTACTGGAAGTAACCTGTAACCGGAGACACTGGCTGGTGGCAATCTTTGGGAAGGAGTTTCTAGGCTCGGATGGATGGATGCTCCATGACTGGGAGGCCAAACCGGTGTTGGCCCTGGCATAAAGATAGGGAATGGATGGGTGGGGGTGTGGACCAGCAAACCAAGAGCAGAAGTTAGAGTAGAGGTTGACTCTTTGTCCATTCCTCTAACAGAGAGATGGAAGGCCCTAAAGTTCATTTCACAGGGATGTAAGTTCTGCGGCAGTAGTTTGAAGCCATTTGATAAACTCGCTAGTATTGTTTCTAGCTGACTTTGTCCTACTTGGAATGGCAGGTTTTCTCATCTCCCTCATCGGCCTCCTTCAGTCCCTCTAGATGCCCTTAATGCGGATGGAGAGGTTGGGTGGAGTGGGGGAGGCCGTAGAAACAGAAACTGGTTCACCCCTGCAGGACTGACTACACATGGGTCCCTGACCTCCCTTCTCCAAGAACTCCTTCCCAGACTCATTCCTTTTATCACCAAACCCATCTTGTCACCATTTTATAACCTTATCCCCCCAGCCCAGCTCTCCTTGCTCCCTTCTCCCTCCTTCCTTCCTGTTACCTCCTTACCTGTCCACCGCAATGGCCGTCATAGAGTAGATGCTGGCGAACACCGCTGTGATGGGAAAGAAATTCTGGAAGCGACAGTAGTTGGCACCGAAGTACCACTCGCTGTGAAGCGCGTAGATGAAGTTGACCAAGGTGTTGAAGGCGGCCATGGAGGCGTCGGAGAAAGCCAGGTTCACGAGGAAGTAGTTGGTGACGGTCCTCATGCGCTTGTGGGCCAGGATGATCCAGATGACGATGAGATTCCCGAAGACCGCCACGGCCACCACCACGCTGTAGGCGAGGGACCAGAGCGCGATTCGCCAGGACGGCTGCACGAACTGGTTGGTGAGGTTGGCCCGGGGCTGCGAGGGCTCGGGGGAGGTCGCGAGCAGTCCGGGCGTGGAGGACGAGGCGGACAGGTTGCTGGCCTGGGCCAGCAGCGGCAGCCACGCAGCCTCGGCCACCCCCGCGGCTGCCCCCGCGGCGAGCGCCTCGCTCAGGTTTCCGGGGCGCCAGCGCCAGCTCCTTCCGCGCCCGCCGTCCAGTTCCAGGCTGCGGGGAGAGAGGCCATCGCCGCGGGTCTGGAGCCCTGGATCTGCCCACTCGCCCTCGGCCAGCCCGAGCCGAGCCTCCTGAAGTTCTTCGCCTCCTGGTCCCTGGAAGCGCCGCAGGGAAGGTGAGAGCGGCTCCCCTGGCTGGTGAAGGGATGCGACGAGCCAGCAAGTAATGGGGAGGACGGGCGCCACTTCGTCCAAGGAGTTTGAGACTTTGGCAGGATTGAGATGGTTGGGGCGATGTTAGGGCTGTCACCCGCCGGGATCTCGGGGTTCGCCCTGGCGGGAGCTCCGCGCACTGGCTGGAGCACTGAGGTCCGGGCGCCTGGCGCGCTTTATAGTCTCCTAGTCCCCCACTTTGGTGACGTCGTGGGGGCTTTGAAGCTAACCAACCCCTTCGATGCGCTCCTTTCCTCCACCCGCCCTTGCGAGTTCATTCATTCGCTACCCGCCTCCCAGCAGCTGGGCTTGGCGGGAGGTCGTGCTCCGGGAGGGGCTGCACTGTCACAGATGTAATTAAAATCTCTCCAAGATTGTTTTTCCACTTTTAACTTCAAGATGTTTTGCTGAGGTCCCTCCTCTCAGGCGTTTATTGTTCCTTTTCTAAACCAATTAAACTGTTCACCGGTAAATCAAAAGCACACCCCAGGGGATTTTTTCTGGGGGCGGGGGGCGGGGGAGCGCAGCGGGGTAGCTTGCTGAGGGCTGTGGGCACAGCTAGCCATGCCAGGTGTGTTGTGTTCCTGGCTTTAGGAATTCACTCAACTTTCTGCCCGTGTGTTTATGTTATCACTTCTCAGATCCCTTTTCGTCTATTTCCCACTTTCAAATCCAGTCGCCCTCTTCCTCTAATCTCCGTCTCCGGGACAGACGGTGGTTTCCCCTGGAGGATTCTGCCCTGGGTGGCATGCCATGACGCACAGGGGGTAAACCAGAAACCCGCGAGCTGTATTTTCTTGAAAAAAAAAACAACAACAAAAATTGGATTTCTTTATTTCTCTGGTATAAACGTATCCTGTAAGCAATCTAAATGCATACACTTTGTTATACAGTTTTGCACATTTGGCCCTTGGGTTTTCAAGGCCTGACCGTGAGGACACAGTGATGAAGATGAACGGCAATATCCTTAGTTTCCTGGGCAGGAGGGCAGGCCTGACTTCTGAGCTTTGGCCGGAGCCGGTGAGCTGGAGCGCACTGTGGAATGCGAGCTGGAGAAAATAGTCTGCGATTAGATAGAGTTTATAGACAATGCATCCGTGTGTTCCAGAGGCTACGCTCTCCTTTATTAGTTTCTTGGGGTAGGCGTGCAGGGATTTCGTGTTAAACATCATTTAGCAATCTCCTGAAAACACTTGGAATCTTCCAGCCTCAGTTTTCTCATTTGAAAATTAAAATTAAAATATATATCTATTTTACAGAGTAATTATAAGGATGAGTGGTTTCAACGGATTCCTTCAACAACACTAGGCAAGATGGAGATCTCAGTGAGTATTAGCTATTTCCCTCTTGTTATTGTTGTGCATTTCATCTAAATGCTTTCAGGTAAAATGAATCTTAGGGAGTTTGCTTTACTTCAAACAGAGGTACTTTCTAATTTGTGAATATTCTGTATTGTTTAATTTCCCAGTTCAGAATATGTTCTTTAAAAATCCTGCAATGATTATGGCACAAATGGACATAGGGTGACTGGTCATGACTAGTATTTTCCATTTTATATTTTTAATGATGAAAACAGTAGTGTATAGAAATAAGTTTGAGGCAACCTGATAATTACATTGACAAAACCCTGCTTCAAGGTAAATGCATGCTGAACGTGGTAATTATCAAAGGTTATTATTTCCCAAAGAGGCCTGTGAAAATATATGATAAATGATAAGCGATTTTAACAGAGATTTCATATTTCCTGCTTACTAATTCTAAATTAAACAAATTTTAAAGGCAAATTACTTCTTTCTGCCAATTTACCACCTAGAAATTACTTGAGTTACAAATGAAAGCCTCTTTCTTCCCTAATCAAATCATGAATTTTTAAAAATTTCTTTCTATGGTACACACCATTTATCCTATCTAATAGAGGGAATATGCAAATTGACTGTCACATTATCACAAAGATGACTGTACCCACAGAAGAGGCGGGGTTTTCGTAACACAAGATGGCTGCACCCACCACAGAGGCCGAGTTCCCGTAACGAGCCTTACTGAGCAATCAGCAGGGATCTGAGGCTGAGTGGCTCTGGGTTGGGGCAGGGGACCTGAGGCTGCACCCCCTGCCCAGTGGGGCCTGACAGGGGACCTCAGGCCATGACCCCTGCCTGGTGCCTGGCCGGGGGACCTGAGGCTGCGTCCCCCGCCCAGCAGGGCTTGATAGGGGACCTGAGGCTGCGCTCCCCCACTGGGTGAGGCTTGATGGAGGCCCTGAGGCTGCGCCTCCACCTCCATGCCAGGCTGGGGGACCAGAGGCTGTGTCCTCCTCCCAACGGGGCTTGACAGGGCACCTCAGGTCATGCCCCCCTGCCCCAGCGCTGGGCCAGGGGACCTGAGGGTGCAATGGGGGATCCTGAGGCTGTGCCCCCTGCCTATCTGGGCTTGACAAGGATGGGGCCGGCTGAGTCTGGATCTCGCCCAGTGGGGGTGGGTCCAGCTGGGTCTGGGTCTCGCGTGACTTTGAGGCACTGTGGGTGGGCGGGGACTTGGGTCTGGTTCCTGTGGCATGCCCCAGACTCTGACAGGAGGAAGATTTTCATATATATTTTAGTAATTTTCTTTTATCTCTGACACTTCTATTATAGAGAAAGGGCAAATAGCAATATTAAAATTGTCCTCTAATTAATCCCCTTTTAATGTGCATGAATTTTGTGCACCGGGCCACTAGTTAAAATTATAAAATGGATTGCCCAACTGGCATGGCTCAGTAGTTGAGTGTCAACCTATGAACCAGGAGGTCATGGTTCAATTCCCAGTCAGGGCACATTCCTGGGTTGTGGACTCAATCCCCAGTGTGGGGTGTGCAGGAAGCAGTGAATCTATCAATGATTTTCTTATATCATTAATATTTCTATCTCTCTCTCCCTCTCCCTCCCCCTGAAATCAATTTAAAAAATACATTAAAATAAATAAAAATATAATAAAATGGATCATTGCAGTGATTTGGTAATTATGTATATTTTGATCAAGTGTTTTAAGTTGTAAAATTACTTGGTTGTGCAGAAATTCATTCAGTTTACACTTTTGCTTTATTTATCCATACAGAGTATCATAAGTCTGTGATTCTGTTTTCCTTGGATTTACGTGTGGGTGTAGATGATATGACAAAAAATAAATGGTAATTATGAAATTGAAGTAGTTACAATGCAAGGAGCTTAAAGAGATCTTTCCTTTCAGAAGAAAAGAGGAACCCAGGTCATGCTTTTCCTTCCAGATCTGCCTTTCTCTCTGTATTCCAGGGTAGTAGTGAGGGTAGTCATTGTTCATTCATTGTCCCACTCATTCCTCAGGTATGACTTGAATATACTTCTTTCCAGGAGCTGTACCAAATACTAAGAATGTGGCAATGAAACAGTCAGATATGAATCCTGTTCTCCTAGAGCAGTGATGGCTAACCTTTTGAGCTCGGCGTGTCAGCATTTTGAAAAACCTTAATTTAACTCTGGTGCCGTGTCACATATAGAAATTTTTTGATATTTGCAACCATAGTAAAACAAAGATTTATATTTTTGATAGTTATTTTATATATTTAAATGCCATTTAACAAAGAAAAAAATCAACCAAAAAAATGAGTTCACGTATCACCTCTGACACGCGTGTCATAGGTTCGCCATCACTGTCCTAGAGCCACAGTCTATTAGCATTTTTGACATTCAAGCAAGTATTATAAAGAGTAAAATAGGGAAGAAAAGAGAAAAATGGAGTGTGTGACTGAGTGGAAGGATGCTGTACTCACTGGATTCTGGATTCTGTCAACTTTTCTTAAGAAATGGGAAGTTTTTTCCAGGCCTTTGTGGCTCAGTTGGTTGATTGTCATCCCATGCACCCAGAGGTCACCAGTTTGATTCCCAGGTGGGGCACATGCTCGGGTAGGGAGCTTGATCCCAGTAGGGGGCATGCAGGATGCAGCCAATTGATATTTCTCTCTCTCTCTCTCTCTCTCTCTCTCTCTCTCACACACACACACACACACACACACACACACACACTCACACACACACACAACCCCATTGTTGGAAACTGGCAGGACTATTAAAATGCTGGGGCACCAGAAGACCACATTTACTCTGTTTTTGCCTTCCTCCTGAATCCCAGTAGAGGTGTGAAAAGTGGGGTTACGAATTTTTTTCTAACCTTAGGAGATAATTTCCACTCTACATGGCAGACTTTTAATTCAACCTGAGGTCTTGCATTCTACTCAGCAGATTATTAATCTTTATCCAGAGATTTAAACTTATTTTTCTGGAAATACTAGATTAATAGACTTATTGATATTTTTCTGTCTTATTGTGTTGGAGAGATCAGGAGTAATATTTTGGAGGAGGGTGGCGACCTGAGTAAATCATTCTTAAATGGAAAAGTTGTGATCCTAGCCTATGCGATGATTACCACTGCTCTTTTTGATTACGTGATTTGTTATTTGGCAATAAAAATGTTATCTGCTCAGCTGTAACTAAAACTGTGTTTCTGAAATCTCACAAAGTAAACATAAAACAATGCAATTTATTTGTAGAACTAACTCTTAAGACAAATTTTTGTAGAACTGATTGTTCTCCATGGTCTTAGAAAGAAACTGGTTGATTGGTTCATCTACATAATTAATTCCCCTGGATGGCTAAGGAAATAAAATTAAAGAAGGGAAAAACTATCTCAAGATATTCAGAAGTCTCTTATTTTGAGGGACTGTAGAGATCACTTAATCTAAATTCCTTAGAGATGGAGCAATTAAGTCATCAGGAGTTACAAGTCATTTATGGCTGAATAGGCAAAATGGCTTGGGAGTTGTGAAGAAACTTTATTAGTATTTCTGGGCACCGGTACTGAATGTACTTACATATTTAGTTAACAATTGCTGACTAGTTATTGGGCTTTAATTGAAACTTTTACTGTTGAATGTCATACAATTAAATACCTGTTATGGTCTGTGTTATATCAGCTCATCATTGGAACAGGGAAGGAAGTCCTAATGAGTCCGATGGTTTTTTTCCTGAGCAGGATGTAAGGGTGATTTCTTTCCCGGGTCCTTGTCCAGGTGGATTCAAAGAATGAAGCCACGGACAAAAAGTGGTAGATGAAAAGATAGAAATTTATTGGAAACAAGTACAGACTCCCACGTAGGGAGGGGGTCCCCAAAGGGGGTAGCCTACTACTAAGTCCTTTTTTTCCTAAGGTTTATAAAAGCTACAGTTCTTTGTTTCTTGATGCTGCCTTTCAATTGGTAGAATATTAACTTCAAA